ATCGTAGCTGCAAACCACGTAGTTCACCCCATTTTTGCACTTTGAAATGCCACATCCGACCTCGGTGGTTTTGCCCCAGACCACAGCAAGGTAGTGACCACATTCGTCTTTGACGCATTTGTTGGACTTGTAGTCATAGAACTCTTTCTCAGTGAGCCAATACTTAGTGGCAGCTGCGCCAGTCATGCCGTGGCCGGAGGTCAAGTTCTCACCCCAACGCCCCCTTGAGTGCTCCATGGCGCAGTCGTCAACTCTTTTGTTGGCATATTCTTGAGCATACTGGGCCAAGGTCGTGTTCCACTTAAGGGGTTTGTTGCCGACCTCTTTACGAGCCTTGTTGTGCTCTTTGATGAAGCCATCGATCTCTGCTTTGGAAATGTTTGCAGAGACAAGGGTGAAGACCAATGCGACGCAGCAGATGGCCAAAAGAAGCTTCGTGTTGAACGCCATTTTTTTTTCTTGATATGAGAAGTTTAAGGTCTTTTCTTTGTAGCAGAGAAGGTTGGATTGTTAGATGTTGATTGAAATGGGAAATGAGATTGTGCATATTTATATAGTTGGGAGGGTTAAATATAGGATCCCTAAAAATGGGATGGTTTCTAAAGTTCTATAAACAAGCATGAACAAATAAAACTTGTGTGGGATTGCGTCACCCTCTCATGAGATTGGATTTGGGATCCATACAAACATTGTATTGTCAGACAATCAATCTATACCATTGATTAAGTGAAGTTTTATTTGAATCCTATATTACAGTACATAATCCGGTGAGGATTTTTAGCTCCATTGACAAACAATTAGCCTTGCACTTATGATCAAAGTTTTGACTCTCGTCTTCTCTGTCAACTTCTTGTGGCTTTTAAAAATAAAAGTTCAATGCATTATACTTCTTACCAAAATATAAAGAAATGAAAGAGGAAGCTAATTAATTAGGCAAAAACTCACTTTTCATCTAGCAATCTATATATATGTAAATATGTATATATACATATTATGCATGTGTATATATGTATTTTATAATATATATATATATATATATATATATATATAATGTATATGTATATATACATCCATATATGTGTATATACATGTATATATGTATATTATAATAATATTATATATTATAAATAATATAAACACACACGTGCGTGTGTATAGGTGTATATATGTATATTATAATATAGATGGGTATAATACATATATGTCTATATATGTATGTATATTATAATTTATACATGGGTATAATACATAAACATACATACATATATATATATATATATGTATATTAAAATATAATATATATAGGTATGTTATAATAATAATATACATGTATATACGTGTATATATGTATAATATAATATATATATATATACATATATGGGTATAATGAAGGAAACATGCATCTAATTCTTAGGAAATTAACTTTAGCCACAACCTATACAACAAAAACATTCTAAATGGTGGATTAATTTTGTTTATACTAGTTGAGCTAAACCTTTTTCTTTTTAAACCAAGTATCTTAGCCTGTTCTCTTTGAACACAAATAGAAAAGGGAAAAATGGAATAAATCTTTAGCCTTGAGGACCTTTTTCTTGATTTCTCAAGAATGAACACCTTTGTTGGAAAGAATTTTTCTTTCTCTTGATTTTGACTCCTTCACCTTAAGGCTCCAAGATTGGAGTCCTCTACCTCACCACACCAAATGCACCTAGAGATAAAGAGAAGGCAAACAAAAAGTACGGATGCTAATCTACTTCTTGATTAGACCAATTCTCGGTTTATAAAAGATGAAATGCAAAGATGATCACTCATCAACCAAAGTAGGAAACCAAAAACCCTAGCTAGGTTTTCTCCGAAGTTTAGCTTATATAGAACAACACAAAAGGCAAGGGGAGAGCTTGCTCTTAGTTGCCAAAATTTGGGTGGGTATTTGGGGCTCCATTTGTTACATGGGTCATGTCATCTTATGCCACTTATCCCTTGGGTCTAATAGCATTTTGGGTTATTTTGTCCATTTCCTTTTAAATCATATTTAAAGGCCCAATCAAATATTTCCATATGTCAATATTAATTCCATAATTAATCTTTTAATTATAATTTAACTATTAAATTATATTTATAGTCTTACTTAATTGACCCTGTCGGACTATTTGACTTTGGTCAATTGCTCTGGTCAACATGTTGACCTTTGACCGTTGACTTTGACAATTGATTATCAACCATTGACTTGTGTCTGCTAATTTCATTTCTCTTCATTTGTACCTCTAATCACATTCTTTGGGTGTGTAAATCCGTAGGTTCCCTTTAGCAAGGTTGTGGGTTGACTCAAATCCTTAGAGATGTCATACGAATTAAATTCCACAATTTCATTCTTCCTATTAATAAAGGTTAATTGAAACCTTTTAGGAAATCCATAAACCATGGTTGTCGCATAGTAGCAAGTCACGGTTATTCGAGCTAAATGAGACGTTGTGAAAGAACCTATTCAAATTGGAATGACCGTGAAATGAATCCTTCTCTTATGTCAATACTCCTAATTCAGCATGATCTTATAATGCCCTCAAAGATTAACAACATAGCCACTAAACATCTATGATGCCTCAGGTCTAATGATTAGTTTGCACCATTGCAATTTATAAGTTCCAGCTTGACATGTGAGTAAAGACTTCCATGCTGTAACTCATGTGTTGGATCGCGGTCAGTGTATTTGTTCTTCTACAAGTACCTACACACATATTGATATGTCTCCACACTTAATGACTTGAGATCTTGCCATTCCCTACATATAGAAATGATATTGTGTGTACTGGTATTTGCGGAATATTGACGCCCAATTAATATTCCTATGACCAGGAACATATTCAGGATTTAGTGATGATAAGAAGTCTTCATGTATGCAATCTCATTATATAGCACTCATGTCATACCCCTGACCTGGGGGTCGGTGGAAACCCTGCACCCGATGCGTGAGTAAAATAAAATAAAAAGAAATACAAAGAAGGGTTTAAAATAAACTTCTTTTATAAAAATAGCTCAAATTTCTTACAACTTTACAATTAATAAATAAAGCTCTATCACTCTCATCTAATTCAGCCTCAATTGGTTTAATCATTGTCTTGCCCACTAATTCATCAGAAAAACTAAACAAGTTGAGGGATGAGCAACCACCGCTCAGTGAGTAGATTATGTAATATGTCAGTCAAGCAATGCTGTTTTACACACTCTAGAAAACATCAAGAAAAGATACACCAATCCAGATCATATCACATCATCCCTTCATATCTCAGTTATCCTTCATAGCATGTAACCAACCACGTGACCCCTATTGGCCTCACTGCCCTATGTCCCCGTGTGGTACATCTATCCCTCGGATATTCCAACATTGAAGTTCTCATGTTCCATGAATACATACTTCATAAATATTCCAATCTATATATATATATATATAGTGTGAAAGATTGCACCAAATTAGACATGCTTGACTTGAAATAGAGATATTTGTAAATAGAACAAATCCACAATAATTCATGATTTTCATAGTTTTATCACAAAATAAGAACTTTTAGAACACATTACATAAACCACTCACATCGATAATGAGAGCCCTTAAAGAAATTGGCAAGACAACCATATCTATCTTCATGTACTACTACGCATGCCATGAAAACAATAATAGGAAAGGTTCCTATTTATACTACTACATAGGCGGCAACTACTTTCCTTCAATTGGTCCAATGAATGGCAATTGATAAGGTTTGGCTCCAAGTTTAGATACCTGTTACTGGATTTCCAACACCTCATGCTCAAATAGAGCTTACTCATCTAGGTGCAATGACACTTGGAGTCTAAAGTATGTTTTGCATAACAACTAAGCTATTGAACTTGGTCAGCAAGAAACAAGAGATAAAGCTGTCAAAAAAACAATACATATAAATATTACAATTTTTAATAACTAATAAGATAAATTTATGAAAATATAACACGTACCAAGATGATTATATATATATATATATATGTTATAAACTAAATATGTAACAAAATATTTAATTTTCTGAAATATAATATATATGTATATATATATATTTATTTAAAAATACGAGGTTTCACAACTCATATCCACTTGTGTATTCCTTGGACTATGGTTGTTCTACATATTGAAAGATAATATAGGATAATTTAATGTACAAAACAACATTTCTTGCCCATTGATAACATAATATGTCTTTTATCAAAGATGTCCTTAACTTTAACTATTACATAATTAGTTAGCTTTAAGGGTATATTTCTAATATATAATATATATACACATATATGTATATATAAGTATATACACGTATGCTATTATTATAACATTAATATGTATATGTGTACATGGGTATATTATAATAATAATATACATCTATATATGTATATGTATATGTATATATATATATGCATTTTATACATTGGTGAGCATGAGAGTAGTTAATCTTCCCTTTTCACATTAGTAGTCCCCTCCTAAGGAGGTGTTTTTGGTGGGCATGGTATTAGCAATCCCATGTAAAACTATGATTAGATGAAACAAACACGGTACTAAATTTAGTCCAAGCCAGGCCAAGCCAAGTATGTGTAACAAACGTCCCCTAAGTTTCTTACCAAAGTAGTGGATATTTACCCCTAATTATTAAAATTTTGGATAAACCAATTAGGTTTTTGTCTAGTTGTATTTTTCTTTCCAATATAAAAACTGTCAAATTCGAATCTTTCCTCATTTAAAGATGAAAAAAATAAACATAGACATAATTGGTGAAATATAATTACAATAACGAAACCATTAAAATTTTCAAAATCTATAATGACATAAGCAATCCAAGTTCCTACCTCTAATCACTGCAACCACAATCTTGACCAAGGGTTTTAATAAAAAAAGAAAGAAAGAATGAGGTAATGAGATAATATTTCAGAAAGAGAGAGATTGACCAAAAAAAGATAAAGAGAATGAGATAATATTTCGGTTAGAATTTACAAAAATGAAATAACATTATTCTTTTTCAATTTTTTATTCATTCTCTTGTAACCTCTCACAATACCATGTCAAATGCTAATCACGTAAATGAATGTTGTGAGGGTGGGAAAGTATTTGTATACACCCGTTACATTTTATTTTTCTAATTTTGCAAAAGGAAAAAAACACTGGACCTCTCAACAGGCCTTGTGTAGGTGTGCGTGTGCGCACGCAAGCATACATACATTGTCTAGTAGGGGCGCTCGTCCTCAGGTTGGTACATGGGATCATAGCTGCAAACCACGTAGTTCACCCCATTCTTGCACTTTGAAATGCCACATCCGACCTCGGTGGTTTTGCCCCAGACCACAGCAAGGTAGTGACCACATTCGTCTTTGACGCATTTGTTGGACTTGTAGTCATAGAACTCTTTCTCGGTGAGCCAATATTTAGTGGCAGCTGCGCCACATTCGTCTTTGACGCATTTGTTGGACTTGTAGTCATAGAACTCTTTCTCGGTGAGCCAATACTTAGTGGCAGCTGCGCCGGTCATGCTGTGGCCGGAGGTCAAGTTCTCACCCCAACGCCCCCTTGAGTGCTCCATGGCGCAGTCGTCAATTCTTTTGTTGGCATATTCTTGAGCATACTGGGCCAAGGTCGTGTTCCACTTAAGGGGTTTGTTGCCAACCTCTTTACGAGCCTTGTTGTGCTCTTCGATGAAGCCATCAATATCTGCTTTGGAAATGTTTGCAGAGACAAGGGTGAAGACCAATGCGACACAGCAGATGGCCAAAAGAAGCTTCGTGTTGAACGCCATTTTTTTAATTCTTGATATGAGAAGTTTAAGGTCTTTTCTTTGTAGCAGAGAAGGTTGGATTGTTAGATGTTGATTGAAATGGGAAATGAGATTGTGCATATTTATATAGTTGGGAGGGTTAAATATAGGATCCCTAAAAATGGGATGGTTTCTTAAGTTCTATAAACAAGCATGAACAAATAAAACTTGTGTGGGATTGCGTCACCCTCTCATGAGAGTGGATTTGGGATCCATACAAACATTGTATTGTCAGACAATCAATCTATACCATTGATTAAGTGAAGTTTTATTTGAATCCTATATTACAGTACATAATCAGGTGAGGATTTTTAGCTGCATTGACAAACAATTAGCCTTACACTTATGATCAAAGTTTTGACTCTCGTCTTCTCTGTCAACTTCTTGTGGCTTTTAAAAATAAAAGTTCAGTGCATTATACTTCTTACCAAAATATAAAGAAATGAAAGAGGAAGCTAATTAATTAGGGAAAAACTCACTTTTCATCTAGTTTGATGAAATTTCCACATTTGTCCTTATAGTTTCAATTCTAGCAATCTATATATGTAAATATGTATATATACATATTATGCATGTGTATATATGTATTTTATAATATATATATATATATATATATATATATGTATGTATATCTATATATATATATATATATATATATATATATAATATACATATATAATGTATATGTGTATAAACGTGTGTATATGTATATTATAATACATATATGGGTATAATGAAGGAAACATGCATCTAATTCTTAGGAAATTAACTTTAGCCACAACCTATACAACAAAAATATTCTAAATGGTGGATTAATTTTGTTTATACTAGTTGAGCTAAACCTTTTTCTTTTTAAACCAAGTATCTTAGCCTGGTCTCTTTGAACACAAATAGAAAAGGGAAAAATGGAATAAATCTTTATGCTTGAGGACCCTTTTCTTGATTTCTCAAGAATGAACACCTTTGTTGGAAAGAATTTTTCTTTCTCTTGATTTTGACTCCTTCACCTTAAGGCTCCAAGATTGGAGTCCTCTACCTCACCACACCAAATGCACCTAGAGATAAAGAGAAGGCAAACAAAAAGTACGGATGCTAATCTACTTCTTGATTAGACCAATTCTCGGTTTATAAAAGATGAAATGCAAAGATGATCACTCATCAACCAAAGTAGGAAACCAAAAACCCTAGCTAGGTTTTCTCCGAAGTTTAGCTTATATAGAACAACACAAAAGGCAAGGGGAGAGCTTGCTCTTAGTTGCCAAAATTTGGGTGGGTATTTGGGGCTCCATTTGTTACATGGGTCATGTCATCTTATGCCACTTATCCCTTGGGTCTAATAGCATTTTGGGTTATTTTGTCCATTTCCTTTTAAATCATATTTAAAGGCCCAATCAAATATTTCCATATATCAATATTAATTCCATAATTAATCTTTTAATTATAATTTAACTATTAAATTATAATTATAGTCTTACTTAATTGACCCAGTCAAACTATTTGACTTTGGTCAATTGCTCCGGTCAACATGTTGACTTTTGACCGTTGACTTTGACAATTGATTATCAACCATTGACTTGTGTCTGCTCATTTTATTTCTCTTCATTTGTACCTCTAATCACATTCTTTGGGTGTGTAAATCCGTAGGTTCCCTTTAGCAAGGTTGTGGGTTGACTCAACTCCTCAGAGATGATATACGAATTAAATTCCACAATTTCATTCTTCCTATTAATAAAGGTTAATTGAAACTGTTTAGGACATCCACAAACCATGGTTGTCGCATAGTAGCAAGTCACAGTTATTCGAGCTAAATGAGACGTTGTGAAAGAACCTATTCAAATTGGAATGACCGTGCAATTGAATCCTTCTCTTATGTCAATACTCCTTATTCACATTATTAGATCATGGAATCTAATTGTCAATATCCTAATGTGAATCATTCCTTTTATATGATTATCCTAGTAAGATTTGAAGACTTCTTCTTTTAAGTCTTATCTGCTACTCTGCGCAGAGATTTGGTCAATCATATCTTGGAGTATTCTCTCTCCTTTACTGAGAGTAGAGGTTCCTTGTTGTACATTCATTTGCGTCCATGACTCTATTGAGAATCCTAATAAGCACCTTTAAGTTATGCCTAATTCAGCATGACCGTATAATGCCCTCAAAGATTAACAACATAGCCACAAAACATCTATGATGCCTTAGGTCTAATGATTAGTTTGCACTATTGCAATTTATGAGTTCCAGCTTGACATGTGAGTAAAGACTTCCATGCTGTAACTCATGTGTTGGATCGCGGTCAGTGTATTTGTTCTTCTACAAGCACCTACACACATATTGATATGTCTCCACACTTAATGACTTGAGATCTTGCCATTCCCTACATATAGAGATGATACTGTGTGTACTGGTATTTGCGGAATATTGACGCCCAATTAATATTCCTATGACCAGGAACATATTCAAGATTTAGTGATGATAAGAAGTCTCCATGTATGCAATCTCATTATATAGCACTCATATCCACTTGTATATTCCTTGGACTATGGTTGTTCTACATATTGAAAGATAATATCGGATGATTTAATGTACAAAACAACATTTCTTGCCCATTGATAACATAATATGTCTTTTATCAAAGATATCATTAACTTTAACTATTACATAATTAGTTAGCCTTAAGGGTATATTTCTAATATATAATATATATACACATATATGTATATATAAGTATATATATATATGTATTATAATATATAATATATATATATATATATATATATATGTACATATTACATATATACACATATGCTATTATTATAATATTAATATGTATATGTGTACATGGATATATAATAATAATAATAATATACGTATATATATATATATCAGTTATTCTCTTATCCGGATGT